GAAATGAGAGGAGCCAGGTCTGAGAATTGGTCTAGGACTCAGGGGTGGGGATCCTGTGGCCCTCTAGATCCTCAAGTGTGGCCCTTTGACTGAGTCCAAGTTTTACAGAACAAATCCTTTTATTAAGGGGATTTGTTCTGTGAAGTTTGGATTCCATCAAAGGGCTGCCCTTGAGGACCTAGAGGGCCACATGTAGTCTCAAGGCCACAGAATCCCCACCCCAGGAAGAGACTGGGCGGCCAGGGGACAGTCTGTGAGCCTGGATGGACACAAAAAGGGAGGTGGGAGTTGGGACACATCAAAGATAAACTTCTTTGACTTTGCAATTTGCCAGAGCAGAGCTTAAGGTGGATTCTAGGGCACCAGGCCTGGAGTTCAAATCTGGCCTCAGACACTTACTAGGTGTGTGACGTTGGGCAAGTCACTTAATCCTGCTTGCCTCAGTTTTCACATCTATAAAATGAGCAGTAGGAGGAAATGGCAAATCATTCCAGCATCTTTGCCAAGAAAACCCCAAAGGAGGATACAAAGAGTTAGACACAATTCTGCCCATCTGTTGAGACTCCTGAAACTTCCCCAAAGTTGACTCATGAGGAAGCCCTACAAAAACCACTTCCCCATGTAACATGGTCAGCCATCTGTGGGATCCCCTGAGGTGGGAAGTTCACATGAGACAGTAAGGAATTTTACCCCTAAGAAATTGTGGGGCTGAGAATATAATATTATAACATAACATATAATTCTCTAATGGACTAATGAGAAGCTGTAGCCGATGGGGTGGGGTGGGGGAGATATACCCCTAACCCTTGTACGGTGGTCACTCTCATTCTATTAAATGACATTTGGGGTAATGCCCTGGGTTTTCTTCTAGGGGCGATAAAAAAGGACACAATCTGTCTTCATGGAGTTCATTGTCTAGTAAGGGAATAAGACATGCCCAGATTGCTGTAGTACAAGAGAGGATGTGTTAAACATAGAGACTGTCCACTACATTAGAGAATCACACATCTCTGTTGGTGAGGGCCTTGGTGATCATCTAATCTAATTCCAATCAGATTTGGAATGCCCTTAACAGCTTCCATTACAATCCTGTTCATCCCACTTTCTCCAGTAGACTTTAAGAGAAGATGGGGAGCCCACTACCTCCCCAAGGCAGTCTATTCCACTCTGGAATAGTTCCCATTGTTAGGAAGTTTTCTCAACACTGAACTGAAGTCTGCTTTTCTGCAGTTCCACTCCATGGTCGTGGCTTGGCCTTTTGGAGTCAAGTGGAATAATTCCCTTCTCTCTGACAGTCTTCAATACACTTGAAGACAGCTACATATCCTTCCTTAAGTCTCCTCTTCTCCAGGCTACACACGGCAGTGCCTTAAATCAATCCTTGTGTGGCACGATCCCTGGTGCCCTTCCAGCCCTTGCTGCCTACTTCGAAGCTGACTCTTTTGCAGTCCATTAAAACTCACATAATTTTTACAGGAGCCATTTGCTAGGTAAGTCTCCATACTAAGTTTGTATACTGAATTTGTATACCTAAGAGAAAGGCTTTATATTTACCCCAATTGCATTTAATCTTTTTTTTTTTCTGTTTCATGGGTCAATCATCAACATCTTTGTTGATTGGAAGAATAAATCACAATGAGGAAATCCCAGAACAAGTCAGTTAATAAGCATTTATTAAATGCCTACTACGTGCCAGGCACTGTGCTAAGCACTAGGGATATGAAGAAAGGCAAAAAAACCCCAAACAATTCTTGCTTTCAAGGAGCTAACGAGGGAAAGCCAACAGGCAAACAACTATGTACAAATGAGATATATACAGGATAAATTGGAGGTAGTTTCAGGTTAGATTAAGGAGGACTGGGAAAGGTTTCTTGAACAAAGGATTTTAGGTGAAACCTGAAGGAAGCCAAGGAAGCTAGGAGGCAGAGATGAGCAGGGAGAATGTTCCAGACATAAGGGCAGCCAATGAAGTTCTTGGAGTTGGGTGATGGAGTGTTTCTTTCTTCTTCTTCTTCTTCTTTTGGAATCCATACCTTTTATATTACCTAAATGAATTTAGACAAATCACTTAACTTACAGGTCCTTACCTATAAAATGGGGTTGAATTGGATTGTCTATAAGGTCTTTCCCAATTCTAAATCTATGATCCTATCTATGAGAGCTTAGAAGAGCTGAGAGTTATCTGAGCTGCAGTTATCTGGAGAGTGGAGTGTGCGGTGGAGAACACAGAATGTTAGCTAAATAATCCTTAGCATGTAGGATGACTAAGCTGAGCAACCCACTCAAAGATTGGCACATCCAAAACCTTAATTTTAGTAGAGATGAAGCAGAGACCCATTGAGGTCCAAATCTTCAGGGAGGTGTGCTTTCCACCATTTGCATTAATTGAGAATGAGGTATGGACAATGGAACCCCTTCAAATCTCTTCAAATGAAGCTTAGGACAATGTCCTGAGGAGGAAGGACTGCCAGTGCATAAATTCGATTTTGCAATCTGTGAAGTTTGTGCTGCTGCCTAAAGAAATGACTCATGACCTAATGTGGACCTCATTGTTTATCTTCAGAAGAGGGAAAAAGCTAGGTAACTGGATGCAATATTTATAACATGCCAGAGTTTTTCTTCTTTCTCTTCCTTTGCCTCTTCTTCCTTTCTCTCCTCCTCTCCTCATACTTCTCTTCTTCTTTCTCCTCTTATCTTTCTCTCTTCCTCCTCCTCTTCTTCCTACCCTCTTTCTCTCCTTCTCTTCTTCCTACTTCTCCTCCTTTTCCTTCTCTTTTTTTTTTCTTTCTTTCTTCCCTTCCTCCTTTCCCTCCTTCTTCCTGATTCTCATTTTCCTTTTTTCTTTCCTTCTTTTCTGTCTTTTTTCTCATTTTCCTCTTCCCTCCTGATTTTCCTATTTTTCTTCCTCTTCTTATGTCTTTCTCATCTTTTTTCTTCCTCTTTTCTTATGCTTCTCATCTTTTCTCCTTCTCCCCTCTCTTTCTCTTCTTCCTCCTCTCCTCTTACATTTCTTTTTCATCTTTTCCCTCCTCTCCTCTTCTTATGTTTCTTTCTCATCATTTTTCCTTCTTTCATGTTTCTCATCTTCCCTTTCTTCTCCTCCTCTCCCTCCTATTCATCTTCTTCCTCTTTCTCCCCCCTCTTCTTCCTCCTCCTCTCCTCTTAGATTTATCTTTTTCCTACTCTCCTCTTATGTTTCTCATCTTCCTTTTCTTCTTCTCTCCTCTTTTCCTCCTCCTCTCCTCTCTTTCTCCTTCTCTCCTTTCTTTTTATTTTTTTATCAATTTATTTTGATTTATCAACAATCACTTCCATATGCTTTTGAGTTTAAAATTTTTCTCCCTCTTCCTCCCCACCCTCCCCTAGACAGCGCACAATCTGATACAGGCTACACATTTACATTCCTATTAAATATATTTTCACATTAATGATGTTGTAAATGAAGAAAAAAAAGGAAAAAAAGAAAGAAGAAACAAAACTTAACAGAAAAAAACATAGCAATTCAACTTCCATAGTTCTTTCTTTGGATGTGGATGGCATTTTCTATCATGAGGCCTCTGAAGATGTCTTAGATCCTTGTATTGCTGAGAAGGGTTAAGTTTATCAGTATTAGTCATCGCACAATGTGGCTGTTTTCGTGTACAACGTTCTCTTCATTCTGCTCACTTCACTTAGCATCAGAACATACAAGTCTTTCCAGGTTTTTCTGAAGTCAGCCTGTTCATCATCTCTTATTGAACAATAGTATTCTATTACATTCATATACCACAACTTGCTCAGCCATTCCCCAACTGATGGGCATCCTCTCAATTTCTAATTCTTTGCCACCACATAATGAGCTGCTATGAATATTTTTGTACATGTGGGTCCTTTTCCCATTTGTATGATCTCTTTGGGATGTAGCCCTAGAAGTGCTATCGCTGGGTCAAAGGGTATGCACATTTTTATAGCCCTTTGGGCACAGTTCCAAATTGTTCTCCAAAATGGTTGGATCATTTCACAACTGTGATGGAGTGTTTCTTGCAAGGAACATTAAGGAGCCTGGTGTCACTGGATCTGAGATTGTGGAGGGCATAAGGTAGAAGAAGACAGAAAGGTAGGAAGTGAGGAGAGCTAGGTTATAAAGACTTTGTATGGCAAACAGAGGATTTCATATTTGACCCTGGAGGTAACAGGGAGTTTCAGAAGCATTGCATCATTGCAGTATAAGTAAATTTCACATTATTAAATCTATCTTTCTAATCTGTCTTGAATCTTTTTCAATCCTCATTCTGCCATTTTATTTTCCTTTGGAGGCAGGAGTCAGCAAACTCTCTGAGGTGGCCTGTAGAACCGAACTGAGAGGGAGTGAAGAAAAGACCACTGCTCATAGGCAAGGATAGGTGCCACCTGCTGACTTGGAGCTTTTACTAAGCCCTGTAGGGGAGCCCTAGCCCCACCTCCAAACACAGAGGGCTCTTGAGCTTGTGGCTCTGAGGATACAGAGTCTGGCAGAGTGAGGGAAGAGTGGTCCTGTGCTTCAGGTCCTATTCCTTCTGTTCCTGCTCTTCTGATGGCATGGAACCAGTCATCATCTTGCTTGCAAGGGACCCATCCTTCATTTCTCCCTCTCTCTTGCCAAAGCCCAGTGTAGTGGCTAGAGGTGGAGAAGCCATGACCAGAACTGGGGCTGTTGGGAGCACAGGGAATCTGTTCCAGCGATCTGATCTGCCCCCGACTCTCTGGGCCCAGCATTTGGCTCCCATTTCCCTGTTTCTCTAGCTCCCTCCTCAAGGGCCACCTTTGAGCAAGAGGATGAAGACTTGGGCCAACTTGTTGATCCAAACTGGGGCAGCTCAGCCCCTCCCTTGTTTCTGACACTAGATGGGAAATCATTTCACAATCACAGCTTCCCTCAGACCCTCCTTTCCTGCCCCTGCCATACAACAGGATGAAGCTCCAGAAATTGGACAGCATGTCAAGGACTCATATTGCGTAACAAAACAGGGAAGACTAGACATATAAGGGGCTGGCTGAGAGTCAGTGAGGCAGAGGAAGGAGCATGGAGCATCTCAGGAAGGCCCTACTGTTGGCCAGTGTGGCCACTCTCATCCCCACGCAGGCTTTCCCTCTGTCCAGCCTGAGCTATGAGCAGGCCCTTTCCACAGCCATTCATTTCTACAATGAAGTACACAGAGGAGAGAATGCCTTCCGACTTCTCCAAACCTACTCTCCTTCATCCAATAAGGTGAGTGCTAGTTCCATCCCCTTCCTGTAGAGGAAATAACAGACTGGCTCAGATTTTGTCCATCTTCCTTTTCTTCCCCTCCAGAATTAGTTCCAGTGTCTTGTTGGGAACCAGCCAATCCTTTACTCAGGGACTCAGGCTCTTGGGCCCATGAGTGACAGTTATGGCTCAAAGGTGTGAGGGGGTCATTCTCTCAGATTCCAGAGCAGGGGCAGGGTAACATGACAGACTTGAACTGAATAGATATCTGCTGTTGGCAAAAGGCTCTGCCTTAAATCCTGGCACTTTGGGTACTACTCCCTTCCTCTTTCTTTACTTGGGGTCCTCAAATATGTTTTAAAAAAACCCCAATGACTCTATTTCTATGATTGCTTTCCTTTGTCATCCTATGTATTTTATTCTGAGAAGGCACTCATAGGTGTCACCAGACTGACAAAGTTGGCACAAAAAAGGTGAAGAACCCTGCCTTAGGGTAAGTTTCAGGTTGGTACGGCCCCTGATAAGAGGTAACCAGGTGGCACAGTGGATAGATCTTTGGTCCTGGAATCAGGATGATGCGTTCAAATCCAATCTCTGACATTTATCAACTGTGTGACCTTGGGGAAGTCACTTAGCTGCTGTCTTGCCTAAGTTTCCTCAACTATAAAATGGGGATAACAAAATCACCCACTTCCCAGGGTTATTGCAAGGATCCAATAGACATTTAAGAGATTCTTGTTTCTTTCCTTTCTCTCATAGAAAAGTTTTGGGCAGAAAAAGAATCATAGGATTTAGACCTGGAGAGAACGCTAGAGATTCAATTCACTCATTTCATAGATGATAAAACTGAGGGCCCAAGAAGTGAGATAACTACACCTAGTAGGTAACTAAACGAAGATTTGAATTTAGATACTCTGACTTCCGAGCTGCTGTTCTTGCTACCATATCATATCATGCCATACCATATCATACCACATCATACCATACCACACCACAGCACAGCACAGCACAGCACAGCACAGCACAGCACAGCAACACAGCACAGCACAGCACACCATACCATACCAGTAGACGGAGTCTACAGGTGCAGCTTCAGGGATCCCAAAGAGATGTTTCTAAATCTCAGGCTTTTGGTTGGCTTTGAGTCCAGGGAGAGAATGGCATACAAACTAGTTAAGTCTGCAGGTCACACCCTTTCCTACTGTTTGCCTTCCAATGCCTCTTGACCAGGAAAAGGAGAACTGGTCTGCTATGGATGAGAGAGTCTCATGAAGGCTGGGAGGGCTTTGGTATGAAAGGTCAATGATCATTCACAGAGGAAACAGAATCCACACACAGGCAGACCACTGATATGAGTTTCCCAATTTGGCAGTCCCATGATGTTTTCCCCAGAGCCCTCCACCACATAGCACTATAGACCAGAGGCCTCAAACACCCTGCCTGCTGACCCTTGGCCACTTTTTGTAGTGGGAGGGGGGAAGAAGAAAAACCAAGAAAGGAGAGTAAAAAGGAGTGAACAGTTAGAGAGGCAAGAGATCTTAGGATCACAGGTGTAGACTTGGAAATCAGAGACCATCTATTTCAGTCTTCTTGTTTTTACAGATAAAAAAATGAGGCACAAGGAAATTAAGGGACTTGTTCAAGGTTGTATAGGTAGTAGGTGGCAAAGCCATGATGTGAACCCAGGTCCATCTGACTCCACAGACAGCATTCTTTCAACTATACACTGCACTGTCAGAAGACATATACTATTGGACATGACCTATTATCTACCCTTTGCTGGAGAAGGAATTTGAGGTTTAGATGAGCGAAATAAGCTACTCAAAAGTCACACAGTCAATTATAGCTGAGTAGGGTCTAGGACACAAGACTCTGCTCTGTTTAAGGGACTTTCATTTTTCCACACTGTAGGAGACACTTGTTCCCATTGGCCCAAGCCGTGAAGACTATGGAGGTGATTTCTTTTCAAGCTAGGGTCCTTAGTCCACCTTCTTTGAGCAGCCCCATCCCATCTAACCTCACCTTGCCTTTTCAGGACCCCCAAGAACAAACTCTGAAGCGTGTGAACTTTACCTTGAAGGAAACTGTGTGCCCAATGACCGAGGATCTTGTGCTATACCAGTGTGACTTCAAAACTGATGGGGTAAACAGTCAGTGGGAGGAAGGGCTTGAAAGCACCCTGGAGGAGGCAGAGGGGCTTGTTGGAGCTTTTATTGCTCTGCTCAATCCTACTTTTCATCAAAGCAGCAAGGTTTCTGTTAAGTCTTGAAACCTTGGGAGGTTGATAGTATAGCAGTTATTTTCCCATTTAACTTACGAAGAAACAAAGGGTCCAAAGGAGGGGAGCTTCACATAAAGATACAGCCTACTGGTTGTGAAGCCAGGAATAGAATCCAGGTTCCCCAGATCCAACCTTACGTGCTCTCTGACCTGGAAGGGACTCTATGACATTAAGAGATAACTACACTTCTGGCTCTCACAGACCTAAACCCTCTGGCCTCCTGAAAAGAAGACCAAATTAGACTTCTCTCAATTTTTTCCTTCCTTCTTTTCTTCCTTTTTTCCTCTCATCCTTTTTTCTTTTCTTTGTTCTTCGTCCTCTTCCTCTTCCTCCTCCTTCTTCTCTCTGTCTTTTTCTGCCTCTGTCTCTGTCTCTCTCTCTAATCATGGATGTCCCCTATACAGCTGGTGAAAGAATGTCAAGGCTCACTATCCAATGAACAGGGCATTGCTGCCATCATCCTCACCTGTGACCCAGTGGCCCCCGAGGTGAGCTTTCTACTTTTCCCCCACTCTCTGCCCCACCCTCTCATATTTTATCCTTCAGGGCTGATCCTGTTAGCTGCAATGGTAGAGGGTTTGGTGGGGGATAGAGGAACTGGTACAAGGAGATTCCATCCTGCCCTCCCTGCCCTGGCCCATTACCCCTGTCACTAGAGCAGGAGAGACACCTGAGGGAGGGCTGGCCATAGCAGAGCAACCACAGGGCACACCCAAGCTGCTGTGGGCTTTCCAACCCCTGTGGCTACCTTTCCAAGGTTTGCACCTCATCTGGGTAGGCTTACTCCAGAGAATAGTTTGCATTTTAACTTAGATTAGAAAATGCATCCTCCCACTACATCCCAGCTGTCCCTATGCACGCTGGGAGTCTTAGACCTGAAGGGTGGGAGAAAGACCAGGGATTGGGCACGACCTAAACTGACTATTCTTAGGAGTGAGCAAAGAACCCATGCCCAACTCCTACCCCAAGGGCCAGGACTCTGCTGGAAGCCCCTCAGTGTCTAGCTCTGTTACCTGAATCAGATGCTTACCTTCCGTTTTAATTTCTTTGCAGCCTTCTCGCTTCAGAAGAGCCCTGTTTCCCAGACGAAGGAAAGGTTCAAACAAACCTGGGAAATACTCTGTGCTTTTTGCTGCAAAGCCCTCTGTAGGCAAGACCCCACATATACTGACTATCTAGGCTCAAGCCAATATAACTTAAAGCCTGCTTTCTCCCTTATATTTGACTCTTTTTCAGTTTCCACTCCCCTTAATGATACACACAAATAAACACACACACACACACACCCTTGTATAATCTATAGGTATATATTTTTCTGTGTGTGGTACACATATGTAATACAATGTTTGGGGTACATATATATAATTTGCATGGGGTGTATATACATATGACGTGTGTGTGTGTGTGTGTGTGTGTGTGTGTGCGTGCGTGCGCGTTCAGCCTGGTCTTCAAGACTTGAGCATTTGTATAAGATTTTCTTCCTTGGTGGAGAAAACATCTTGATACTACAAACCTATCCACGTGAAAGGTGGAATTGGTAGAATGGCTTTGGAGAAGAGAGATTATTCCTCCTTCCTGCTTGAAGGGAGGACACACATTTCCTAAATATTCTTTTTAAAAAGTTCGGGGGGAGTGAGAGAGAGAGAGAGACAGACAGACAGACAGACAGACAGACTGACTTTGGAAGGCAGATATACAGGAGAAAGCTGGTTCCTTAAATGTGTCCCAGATTTCCAGGTTGCCTTCCTAGAATCTTTAGGGAATTGCCCCTTGGATGAGATTGCAGCATTTCTTTCTTGGTTGAACTGAAACATCTCATGCTAACTGGGAGAGGTTGTTGATTCTGTGCATTTTCTGGCATATTCTAACTTACGTAACTTGCCTGATTTCTGTTTGCTATGTGCTTGGATAAATGGATTTACTCATTCTTCAATATTTGTGATGGTCTTTTATGCAATCAGAATTTGGTGGGAAGGAGTCAAGGCTCCAATGAAAGCTTTGGGTTCTCCTTCCTTCTCAGTCCTTCTGTTAGCTCATCAGCAATACCATGTCCTTGACTGTGAGTGTACCTCAATATTCTCGGGATACACTCACTAGGCCTTCTTCTCTCTCAATACTCTCTCCCTTAGAATCATCAGTTTCCATAGGTTTAAGTATCATCTTTATCCAGATGACTATATATATATTCTATATATTTATAGCCTAAGCCTCTCTATTGAGGCTGAGTCAGGCATCTCCAACTGCCTGTTGGACATCTGAAACTGGACATCCTATATAGATACCTCAAACTCGGCATGCCCCCTCTCAACAAGAGATTCCATTATCTTTCGCCCCAAACCTACCCTTTTTCTCAATTTCCATATTTCTAATGAGGACACCACCACACTTCCAAAACCCCAGGTTTGCAAACTCAGGATTATCCTAGGTTCTGTACTCTCCCTAACCCCACTATCCAGTCACTTGCCATTCCCTTGTCCCTAGATCCACAGCCACCATTTGAGGCCAGCTCCTCATCACTTTTCACTTGCACTTTGGCTCCCAATTGGTTTCCCTGCTTCAATTCTCTCCTTACTGTAATCAATCAGCCAAAGAGCTGGTTTTCCTTGATTGAATGTCTGATCATGCCACCCCCCTAACTGATAAACATCGGTGGATTTTTATTGCCTCTAGGAGAAAATACCAACTCCTCTGGCTTTTAAATTACCTTTTATCACTTGTCCCCAACCTGTCTGAATTCATTAGATATCACTCCTCTTCTTGCACTACATGGTCCAGTCAAACTGGCTTCCTCCTTATTCCTCACACATGATACATCATGTCATCTCCGTTCCTTTCTGGCCAGCCCCCATACCTGGAATGCATGCCCACCTTACCTTGGCCTCATAGAATCCTTTACTGAACCAAGCAAAATTTCTACGTGAAGTTTTTCCTGATTATCTCAATTGCTATTGCCTTCCTTTCCTAGACTACCTTACATTTAATTTTTATTTGGTCTCTACATAATTATATATATATTCATTAGGTTCCCCTTCTCCCATCCTACCTCAAACGCCCTTCTACTTTACCCCCTATAGAATATATAGTCCTCGAGAGCAGGAATTGTTTTATTTTTTTCTTTGTATCTTCAGTAACTGAGCCCAGACCTGGAACACAACAGATGCTTAATAAATGCTTGTTAATTAATTGATTGTTGATGGTGCTGGAATGACAGGTTATCAGTTCAGTGTTTCTGCAAAAGTAACTTGCTCAAATATTACTATAGCTGCCTTTCCAGGCCTGCCCCGACCTGAGCTCATTCTAATGTCACAACCCACCTTTCAAGGGCTGAAGAAGACAATAGTTCATTTTGGTGACTGAGCAGCTGCAGGAGGCATATGTGATAGGAAAATGGAGGGGTCCTACTGGAGTACAGGAAAGAAGTCACTTGCTATAGAAGTATGAGCAGTCCAAGAAAAGGCATTACACAGTGGAGGGGAATGAGAAGGTAGAATATTGTTGATGTGGAGCCTACATCCTCCAGGCCCCAAATTGCACTCTCAGGTTGGGGCCCCTGCTGGATAGATTTCTGACACAGCTCTCTTGCCCAGTCAAACTGTGATGGAAATGTAGAGATAGGGGAGGGTCTAGGAGGGGGCAGGTTTTATTTTTAGTGAATTGCATGCTTTTCTTTTTTATTGTAAGAAGGACTATTTTTAACTGCATTTTTAGCTGCGTGGTTTTGTGCATAGGTTCCATTTCTGAGCTTGAATCCCTGGAGTGACCTAAGTAACGTCTGACTCGGGACAAGAGGTCAGGTTTAATGCTAGAGCTCAGGACACTGAGGTGAGAGGTGCAGGCCAAAGCAGTGGTCAAAGTGGGGGGAACGAACATTTGCACCCCAAATTACAACTTCTCTGGAGAAGTTAGCTAGAGAAAATTAGCTTAGTTGGAGAAAATTCTCCTTTTTGACTGCAACTTAGCACTGACAGGCTCTTTCAATTTACCATCAACCCTAAAAAGAACGTTAGAAAGTGTTATCTTTTAGTGAACATAGTAGGTCTCTTCCCTTGTTCCTTCTCTCTCTCAAAGCTCAAAGTGGTGGCTAGAGATGGTGAAGCCGTGGCCAATATTGGGGCTGCCTGTTTGGGTCTGGCTCCCTCCTCAAGAAATTGTAATTTTTATCAAAGAGGGTAAATACTCAATCTCTTTCCCCAAGGAACTGTGGGCAGAAAATCCCCTTCCTTGTCTCTCACATTAGCCCATCTCTGAATGGGAAATCCCTTCAAAATCGCTTCCCTCAGACCCCAGCACCGCCCTAGGCCTAGCCCTATCCTGTGGCTCTAGTGTGAACCTGTCCAGATGACTCCGTAGTCTCCTATGGGAATGCCGGGCATAGCACAGAGGGTGCTGTCAGACATCACCAGGGTCCGTTTCAGTGCCCTGCTACTCCACCCTGCCTCAGGCTCAGCCAAGGGCACTGCCCTAGGTACTGCCTTAAAGTGGGGGGTGCTGGTGTTTCTCTTCCTCTCCTCCCAAATACACCCAGGCCCCTCAGTCCTGGGGAAAGTAGCAGCAACAGACTCCTGTGTCTGTGGAAGTGTAAGATGCAGAGGAAAGGAGAGGTACCCAGTCTTTCTAAGTGGGGATTTAAGGACCATTGCAAGGTAGGGGAAGGCTCTGACAATCCTAGCCAGGCCACAAAGTGTGAGGTATGGTTCTATATGCATGGTGTTCTCACACAGGGGATAGATGCACAGACGTTCTCATTTGTGCTCACTTTTTCCTGTCACGGTTTTCTTTTGTCTCCAGGGTGCAAATAGCTATGGGCAATTTGGCCTTGGGGCCATGCAGAAAATGTGCTTGAGTCCCAACAGCTGAATGCTTTCTGTAACCCCAAACTCATTAGGATGTTGACAGGAGGAGAGGGACACTCAGCTGTGGTCATAGGTCCCTCGCTGAAAACCAGATGCAGTCACACTCACGGTATTTAGAACTGGAAAGGGCCACTTCATGATCATCTTGCTCAGGCCTCTCATTTTTACAGCTGAGGAAACTGAGGCTCAGAGGAGGAAATGACTTGCCTTTAATGACACAAGTATTCTGATAATTCCAATTCTCTCTCATAAATTAGAATACCTCTCCTTTCCACCATGATTTTTGCAGAAGTTAACCTTTTTTGGGTCATGGACTCCTTGGGCAGTCTGGTGAAGCCTATGGATCCCTTCTCAAAATAATATTTTTAAATGCATAAAATAAAATATACCAGGAACACAAAGGAAACCAAATATATGTATGTGTATGTGCATGTGTATATACGTAAGAGGTATAATTATCAAAATTTTTTTGTTTTGGATTTTTTTTTTTGGAGGCAATTGGGGTTAAGTGACTTGCCACACAGCTAGTAAGTGTCTGAGGCCAAACATGAACTCAGGTCCTCCTGACTCCTTGGCTGGAGCTCTATCCGGGCTCTCTCAACAACCTTGAGGGGAAGGCACTGTAGCCATCATTATCTCCATCTTACGGTTCAGAAACGTGAAGAGGTTTGCCTTGTACTGCAGTAAGTGGCCAGAGTTCTTGGTTTAGAGTCTAGCACTCCATCTACTGTGCTGTACTTTCCCTCAGATTCTCTTGCTTCAAAGGAGCCATGAGATTACCTACGCTTTGAATCTCCATTTACAATATATATTAACATATACATACATGTATAAGTCTATTAGAGTTATATGCCTATGTCCTATGCCATTTTGTTTGCATGAATGCTAAAATGATTTGCTTACTTTAAAAAAAAAGGAGGAAGAAAAAGCTGTTGGTCTATGTCAGAATCTCTTTTCAATCTTTGGCAAGTTATGCTCACTGGAAATTTTCTGTTTTGTAGATGGAAGGACTTTTTTGTTTGTGGCCTGAACAAAGATGAGCATCAGGGCAGCTAGGTGGCACAGTGGATAGAGCACCGGCCCTGGATTCAGGAGGACCTGAGTTCAAATCCGGCCTCAGACACATAACACTTACTAGCTGTGTGACCCTGGGCAAGTCACTTAACCCTACCGCCTAGCCAAAAACAAAAAAAACAAACAATAAAAAAAACCAAAGATGAGCATCTGGGACTTGGTCACACTGACAATGTCCTGTCTTTTCTGCCTTGCATCCCACTAACTGACTGCCTAATATTTTCTAGATCTTACTAATGGTCTTAGAAAAGCTAGATCTCTGGCATAAGGAAATGGAAAATAAATTGTCTTTGTGTATTCAGCAACTAGAGATCTGCGTGTGAACTTGCTTTTGATTTTTATGGATTGTTCCTTGAAGCGAGAGGGGCAGCATAAATATATAGTGCAAGCATTGGTGAATCCTCCAGTCATTAACGTTCTCTCACTCCTCAAATTACTTTGCATTTCCTTCACTTTCTATATATTTTATCTTCCTAGGGGCCATCTCTAGTGGTCCTGATCTACGTCTGGCCACTAGACCCAGATGGCTCCGGAAGAGAAAGTGAGGCTGGTGACTTTGCACAGCCCCCCCCCCCAAATCCAATTCACTTGCAAGTCATGGAATTACCTCCCTGATGTCACTATCTTCTTCTAGAACCAAAGGACAAACGACAATTGTATCTTCCCAGTAAAATGTTAGGGCAGGGATGATTTCTTTTTTTTTCCTGGACTAAATGAGTAATCAGATTAGTCTTGTTTCTTGTGACCAAGCCCCTGTCTTATATCCTAGTCCCAGGACCTGAATTCATGTTGTGATCACCAGACTCTGAATCCTTTCCTTGACTCTCTACCCACACCTTATATGTTTCAGGACTGCCATATTTCCCCTGAATCTCAGACTCCATAATTAGATCTGCCTGAAACCTAGCAACTTTTTGCATGGCTTCTCACACCCTATGGGTCTCAAACATTCCTGGTAGGGCTCCTTCCGTCACTGAGGAAAACAGTCTGTCCTTATTGAGTCCCTTGTAATTAGTCTTTGATATGTACCTTACAGTTCTCTTGGCTCTTGTATGGCAAATCTTTTATTAAATTCAGGTGGTGGTTGTTTTTTTTTAAACAAAACACTAAAAGTCTGACAATTCATTAAATATCCATTTTTTTTCCATTCAGGATTATGCTTAACTTTGCTGGGTGTGATATTTTTGGCTGCAACCCCAGTTCTTTTGCAATTTGATATAAGGTGTTCCAAGATCTACAGTTTTTTAGTGTCACCAAGTGCTAGGTCTTGTGTGATTCTAATTGTGATACTGCCGTTTTTAATACTGCCATAATTTGATACTGCCATATTTAAATTGTTTTCTTTTTCTTGTTGCTCATAATATTTTATCCTTGAACTGGGGGTTTCAGAATTTGGCTATGATATTCCTGTAGGTTTTCCTCATAGAATCTCTTTCAGATGGTGTTTGGTGGATTTTTTCCATTTCTACTTTCCCCTCTTGTTCTAATGATTCAGGACAATTTCCTTTAATTATTTCTTGTATCATTGTACCAAGATTCTCTTTTTGATCATAGCTTTCAGGTAGTCCAATTATTCTTATGTTTTTTTCTTCTTGATCTCTTCTCTAGGTCAGTTGTTTTACTTATAAGAGATTTTTTACATTCTCTTCTATTTGTTCATTTTTTATGTTTTGTTTTATTGTTTCTTGGACTCTTATGATTTCTCTGATTTCCCCCCCTCCAATTCTAATTTTCAAGGAGTCATGTTTTTCCTTAAGATTTTGGATCTCCTTTTCTAATTGGTTGACTTTTTTTTCACAGTCTTCTTGGTTTTCTTGGATTGTTCTTATTTTTTTTAAATTTTTCCTCAATCTTTCTCATTTGGTTTTTAAAGTCTTTTTAAAGTTCTTCTATGAATTCTTTTGGGGCAGGTGACCGTTTGATGTTACTCTTTGGGGTAGAAGAGGCTTGCTTTGCTTCAGTATTCTCCTCTGAAGATGAACTCCAGTCTTCTCTATTACCATAGTAGCTTTCCTACGGTTGGAGTCTTTCTCCTTTGCCTGCTCATTTTTAAAAAAAATTATAGCAGCTTATTTTTTGTAATCATCTCTAGTCCTGAGGTATGGGGGAAGGTGCCTCTGGCTTCAGATCCTCCTTCAGCTCTCCCCTCTGGCCGGGAACCCAAACCAAGACCTCCACCCTCCTGTGAGTGCCTACAGTCAGCAGGGTTCTGCCCCACTGCTTCTGCACTCACTAGGCAGGCGTGTGCTGGTTCCTTCTCGCCCAGGGCCCTGTCTCTGCAAGCACAGCTTGGTCTGGCATCCCTTATCAACAGAGGTTCCCTCAATCTTCCCTGGCTCAGATACCCGACTCCCCTCAGTGTCCCAGAGGTGAAAGCTCCTATGGCTGGGGCTGAGGCCACCTCACAACCCAGCTAGCCCCAGGGCTTACCACTTGCCATTTCAGAGAAACTAGCCTGGAGGTATTTATTCTTCACAGGAACTAAACTTTTGGATCTTCTCTGATTGTCCCAGGAGGACCACTGTTCTGCCTCAACTCTGGTTTATTTTTAATTGCTCTGTGTTCACCATGAGGTGCTGTTTTATCTCCTTTGTGGGAGAAATCTGGAGAGCTTGGAATTTTCTGACCTACTCTGCCATCTTCAGATCGGTATTCTTTTCACATTGTCTCTCCATGCCTTTAGATCATTGTGTCTCCCCTAGCCCTGTGAAAACCCAAAATCTCTGAGGAGGTCATTTGGAACTGCTGGCATTCAGTTCTTTGAATGTGCATGTATCTTGTTTGTCTTCATCGTTCCTTCCTTCCTAACCATCCCTGCAAAAATGCCAGCCCAAATGGGGCCAGAAATAAAGTGACTGCATTTAGAAAAATTTGTTTTCTATAAGAACTATCATATTTTACATGTAAATCTATAAATGTATATGAATGAATATTTATAACATATGCAAATAAGCATATATGGAGGCATACATATGCAACGTTTGTGTGTCTATGTGTGTAGGGTTGTTGTAGATTTTGTATATGTCTACAAGGGTTATCTGAATGCAACTGTCTCTGAAATCTTGCCCATCCTTCAAATAGTGCCTTTGATTCCTGCCTAGAGGAGAGAAGGAGAAGGGATCATGAGACTGGATTCTTTGCACTCTTTAGAGAGAGGTACTAGCCTAGAGTCACACCTTATCTGTTCCCATGTCCCTCCAAATAATGCTAAGCTGGAGTAATTTTTTTTTCCCCTTAGGTTCAAGCCACCCATTAAAGAGGAAGAAGTCTCCCAAGCTTATTTCCAAAGGCTTCACTCCATTCCCACCAAATTCTAGTCACACAAAGACCATCACAAATAATGAACATCAAATAAGCTCTTTTATCTAATCAGATAGAAAACAGAAATCAGAGCAATGATACAGGTTAGAATATACCCAACAATATACAGATTAAATGAGCTCTCCCACTGGGAGGGAGATATCTTAGTGCAACTAAGAGAGAGAGGCTAAAGAAAAATGGCAGAGGCTAAGGCCTTTGGAGGACATTCTCAGCTCCTGATACATAGCCAATCACAAAAGCTCCTCTGAACCACATGACTCAGCAGTCCACAAACAATAACAGCATGTCTATATATCTCCATAGGTACTGTAAGGCATTTACATCACAAGTCATCACAGATCTCCAGGAAACAGGTTCCTCATCCCTTTCAACAAGGGGAGATGCCTTCTGAGGTGGACCATTCCCTATTACTCATCATTATGTCTTGCTGGAAGAAGGTAATGGAAAATAAGGTAAATAATGCCAGGGGGAAGGCATTTGATGGCTGTACTAGGGATACAGCAGATCAGGATAAGCTAGATTTACTTGCCCTTTGGTATCCTCCAATGAGGTACGATTGTAAGAAGCAAGTTATGATAGTTGCATTTCCTTCCGTTTAGGCAACGTATTCTTTTGAAGCGAAGTGGCTGCAGAGGAAGGACATGGTCTAATTCAGACAACAGTACTGGAGAGTGGGAATTTCTACCAATATCCTGGTCCTTGCAATAGGGGCTAGGCAGGTATTCTGTGCTCACTCCTAAGAATAGCTAGCTTAGGTCGTGCCCAATCCCTGGTCTTTCCCCCACCCTTGAGATCTAAGACTCCCAGAGCACATAGGGACAACTGGGGAGTGGTGGAAGGATGCATTTTCTAATCTAAGTTAAAATGCAAACTATCCTTAGTTGTAAGCTTACCCAGATGAGGTGCAAACCTTGGAAGTGGTGGCAGGGGTTGGAAAGCCCACAACAGCCTGGCTGTGCCCCATGGTCACCCTGCTGTGGCCAGGTGTCTCTCCTTCTAGGTGACAGAGGCAATGGCCAGGGCAGGGAGGGCAGAATGGAATCTCCCTGTACCAGTTCCTCTATCCTCCCCCTCAACTGCACCCCTGAAGCTAACAGGATCAGCTGGGAATGATAAAATATGAGAGAGTGGGGCAGAAAGTGAGGGGAGAGTAGAAAGCTCACCTCTGGGGGCACTTGGTTACAAGTAAGGATGATGGCAGCCATGTCCTGTTCATTAGATACTGAGACTTGACATTCTTTCACCAGCTGTGTAGGGGACATCCATGATTAAAGAGGGAGACAGAGAGAGAGACAGACAGAGACAGAGGGGTACAGACAGAGATAGTGAGAAAGAGAGAGAAAAGAAGAAGAAATAAAGGAAAGAAAAGAGGAAAGAGAAAGAGAGGAAAAAGGAAGAAATGAAGGGAGGAAAAAATTGAGAAAAGTCAAATTTGCTCATCTTTTCAGGAACCCAGAGGGTTCCTGAGAGTCCAAAGTGCAGTTATCTCTGAATGCCACACCGAGTCCCTTCCAGGGCAAGAGAGGAAGGGAGGAAATAAGCATTTATTAAGTGTTTACCAGGTGCCAGGCACTGTGCTAAGTACTTTACAAATAGTATCTCATTTGATTCTCACTGTAACCCTGGGAGGTGGGTGCTGTTATTATCCCCATTTTATAATTGAGGAAACTCAGGTAGAGGATAAATGACTTGCCCAAGGTCACACAGCTAATAAGCATCTAAGGCCACATTGGAAGCCAGGTCTCCCTGACTTCAGGCCCGCTATACTCTATCTACTGCACCACCTAGCTGCTCTGAGAGAGTGCTTAAGCTTGGACTCAGGGGACCTGGATTCTATTCCTGGTTTCACAACCAGCAGGCTGTGTCCTTATGCAGAGATCACTTCCTTTGGACCCTTTGCTTCTCCATGGGTTAAATGGGAATATAACTGCTATGCTACCTACCTCTAAGGGTTTCCAAGGTAAACTGAGATTCTAGCTCTGCACTGATGCCGGGCTATCAGTCTAGAGGACATATAGACTCCCATAAGAACTCTCCTACCCCAGCCCTTCTCCAATATGTCCTCAACCCCATCCTGACCCACAAACTGCTTACCCCATCTGTTTTAAAGTCACACTGGTCCAGCAGGAGCTCCTCAGTCACTGGACACACAGTTTCCTTCAAGGTAAAACTCAGAAACTTCTGGGTTTGCTCTTGGAGAGGCTAAAAAGACAAGTTAAGGCTAGATGGGATGGGACTGGTTAAGGGAAGTGAATATAGGACCAGGGTCCTGGTCTTGTCCTGAACCAAGAAGGCATCATCACCTCCATCGTCTTCAAGGCATTCAAGGAACAAGCATTTCCTATGGTGTGGAAGAGTGGACAGAGCCATGGAAAGAGGAGAGAGAGCCCACTCTGCCAGTAATTGATTGTGTGACTTGGAGTAGGTTACCTCACTGGTCTGGGCCTCGATTTCCTCATCTGTAGGGGACAGATGCCAGAAAGTACATGTCTCATGAGAGTGCTGCAACGATTTCTGCCTGCCTTTTTCATCCATCCATCCATCCTTCCTTCCCTTTCCACCTCCTTCAGTGCTTCAGTTCCTCCTCCTGCCCTCTATTTGGGCTCCTCCCCCACACCCCAGGTTCTGTACAGACCTTCTTCTCTTCTCTTTCTATAATCTCTCCCTTGGCAATTTCATTCACTCCCCTGGTTTCAATGGTCATTTCTATGAGCATCAATCCCAAATGAACATCTTTATCAAGATTTCTCTCCTCAACTCCAGTCTGGCCAAGAGGCAACATGGACAACATGACGGAGTGGGAAGACTGCAGGACATGGAATCGGGAAGACTTGGGCTCCAGCCTCTGTAGGAACCTGGGCAAATCCCATCATCTCTCTGCGTCTCACTTTCCTCATCTGTAAAGTGGGAACTAGAATAACTAGTTCTTGATCTTCAAAGCTGGTGGGCCACTCCCAATCAAGGCATTAGAACTGATTTTGAAGGAAAAGGGAAAGATGAAGAAGAATGAGGTCAGTCTGGATTTTACCCCAGGGGAAGAGGCCAGAGGGAGCCCTCACCTGAATGGATGGAAAAGAGTGGACTTGAAATACCCGGAACGCATTCTCTCTCCCAGGTCCCTGGTTGTAGAAGTAAATGGCTGCAGACAGGGCCTTCTCATAGCTTAGGGAGGGCTGAGGCAAAACTCGTGTTGGGAGGACAGCGGCGGCACTGGCCAACAGCAGCAGCTTCCTGAGGGGCTCCATCCTCCTTCCTCTGCCTCACTGACCCTCAGCCAGTTCCTTTTATGTCCTCTCTCCTCTGTTCTGTTGGGCAACAGGGGTCCTCGTCCATTGCCTGGGCCTCTCTACTGTATTTCAGTCTGTTGTATGGCAGGGACAGGAAGGGTATGAAGGAAGCTAAGATTGTGAAACACTTTCCTATCTAGAGATGTGCTAACATCGGAGACAAGGGAAGGACCTAGCTGCCTCGGTTTAGATGGGGAAGGAGCCTGAGTGTTTACCCTCTTTGATCAAAGTTAATATTTCTTGAGGAGGGCACCAGACCAGACAAGTAGCCCCAACTTTGGCCCTGGTTTCTCCATCTCTAGCCACCACTTTGGCCTTTAAGAGAGAGAAGCAAAAAAGGAAATGAGGTTCCCTTCCAGGGTGGGGGTCAGGTGACTCAGCACTGAAAGCACAGGACCACCCCTGCCACATTCTGCCAGGCCCTGTACCTTATGGGCTGTCTGATATGGCACAATGCATAGAGCACTGGGCCTAGAGTCAGAAAAACCTGAGTTCAAATCCAGCCTGTGTGACCCTGGGTAGGTCACTTAACTTCGGTTTGTTTCAGTTTTCTTGACTGCAAAATGAGAAGAATAACAGCACCTACCTTAAAGGTTAGTTTCTAGGATTAAATGAGATTATTACTGATAAAGTGCTAAGCACAGTGCCTGTCACTAATAGGCGCTATATGTATATATATATATATATATATATATATATATATATATATATATATATATATATTTCATTCCTTTCCTTCCTCCTGTTTCTCTCCCTTTGCCCCTCCTCTAGAGCCCCCAGAGTGTTTGGAGGCAGGTCTAGGCTACCTGCACATAGCTGAGTAAGGGCCCTGGGTCAATAGGAGGCAACAGACATGAAACTATTCCAGGGCTACCAGGAGAGTCATTTTTTTTTGGGAGGGGGCTGCTAGGAAATGGGGTTAAGTGACTTACCCAGGGTCACACAGCTAGTAAGTGTCAAGTGTCTGAGGCTGGATTTGAACTCAGGGCCTCCTGACTCCAGGGCTGGTGCTCTATCCACTGCACTGCCTATCTGCCCCTAGAGTCCCTCTTACAAGACAACTGGAAGGCTCTATAGAAACTTGCTGCTGTCACCCAAGACAATGATTATACTGTTTGCCATGGAGGAATGAAGATAGAGTCTCAGCATCGGAAGGAGTTGGAAGGAACTTTACTGGCCCCCTCGGCAGCTCGTGCCCCAAAGAAATCCCTACTATAACACACTGATGAATGGCCATCTAGTCGCTGCTTGAAGACCTCTAGTGAGGAAGAATTATCAGCTAGTGGGAAGAGTTGGCCAGGCTGGCTGCCCTGTGAGACAGCCACAGCAAAAAAGAAACTCCTACCTGGAAGCTCCAACCCTTCACTCCCACACTGAGAAGGCAAGAAATGCAATACTCATCATATATATGAAATCACGCAAAGCATTTCAAAGACAGTTTTTTTAAGTTTACCTTGATCTCATCTATTTCTACAACACTTCCTTCCTTCCCTGCCTCCCCACACAGGCCTGTGGGTTGGCAAAGACACAGGAGTGCTATGCCATTTCCTTCTCTAGCTCATTTTACAGATGAGGAAACTGAGGCAAACAGGGTTAAGTGATTTGCCCAGGATCACTTTCATGGCCAAACAATATGTAAATGAATTATTTCTCTGTCACTTTGAAGCAATTTTTCCTAGAAGAAGCTTTGTCAAAATTCTCACAATTGTTCAGGTTTCCTCTGAGGCCTGAACCTATGCTTGAGCATAATAATGAAACCTAGGTTTTTACCTCCCTAATTTCTGCATTGTGGTAAAGATATATATACATACATATAAATATACATATATGTATATATATGTATATATATATATATATATATATATATATATATAGAGAGAGAGAGAGAGAGAGAGAGAGAGAGAGAGAGAGAGATACACATAGATATAGATATATAGACAGCAATAGTTACCTACCACGTGAACTCAGTTGGAGAGGAGATATTTCTCTCATTACACAGGTGAGGACAACGGTGCCTGCACCCTGCTCAGTCAAAATGGAACCTCAACATTCTCTCACCAGCTTTGAGGGAGATAGAGAAAGAGAGAAAAACAAGATAAAAGGGAAGGGGCAGAGGGAGGGAAGCAGAGAGGAAGGAAGGCACTGAGAGAGGAAGGAATGAAGGAGGGATGTTAATATTAACCAAAAAATGCTCTCAATCATTACTGATTAGAGAAATGCAAATTAAAACAACTCTGAGGTTGTGAACTGATCCAACCACTCCGGAGAGCAATTTGGAACTAAGTCCAAAGGGCTATCAAACTGTGCATCCCCTTTGACCCAGCAATACCACTACTAGGTCTGTACCCCAAGGAGATCAAAGAAAAGGAAAAGGACCTGTAGGTCCACAAATATTTATAGCAATTCTTGTGGTGGCGAAGAATTCGAAATTGAACGGATACCTTGTTGTCCTTCATTCTCAAAGAGGACCAATGACCTCAGGAGGGTGATGTCTTGACTTGCAAGTGAATGGGATTTAAGGGAGGCATCAGCCTCACTCTCTATTCCAGAGTCATCAAAGTCTAGTGGCAAAGTATAGGTTAGGACAACTGGCGATGTAAGTTGCAGCATATGATTGTGATGGAGTATTATCGTGCTATTTAGAAATGATGAGGGGCAGCTAGGTGGCACAGTGGATACAGCACTGGCTTTGGAGTCAGTAGGACCTGAGTTCAAATCCAGCCTCAGACACATAATACTTACTAGCTGTGTGACCCTAGGCAAGTCATTTAACGCCATTGCCTAGCCAAAAAAACCCCCAAACAACCCCCAAACAAAACAAACAAACAAAAAATCACCCAAAGAAATGATGAGGGAGATGGTTTCAGAAATACTGGGAAGATTTATCTGAACTTATGCAAGGGGAAATGGGCAGAACCAGGAGATCACTGAACACAGTAACAGCAATATTGTACTTATGATCAACTGTGAAAGACTTAGCTACTCTGATCAAGACAGTAATTCAAGACAATTTCAAGGCATCCATGATGAAAAACTCTATCCACCTCCAGAGGGAGAACTGATGAACTCTGAGTGCAAATTGAAGTATAGTCTTCTCCCTTCATTTTTGCTTTTTCTTTTCTAATATGGTTAATATGAAAATATGTTTTGCATGATTTCACATATATAAATGATATCATATTGCTTGCTTTCTCAGTGGGTGGCATGGGAGGGAGGAAGAGAATTTGAAACTCAAAATGAAAATATGTTAAAAATAAATAATAAATATATATACATATATTTAAGGGGGGGAGGGGAAAGATCTTCAGTCTTCAAGGGGGAAACCTACTACTTCCAAAAGAAACCATTCCATTTTGGACAATTCTCATTGTTAGAAATTCTTGACACTAAGCAGAAATCTGCCTCCCACCGCTCCTAGTTCTGTCCTTTGGAATCAACCAGGCCATGACTAATCACTTTTCTTTCCTTCCTTCTTTCTTTCCTTTTGTCTTTCTTTCTTTTGTAAATAACATTTTCATTTTTTTTCAATTACACGTAAAGATAGTTTTCAACATACACTTTTATAAGATTTTATGTTCCAAATTTTTCTCCCTCCCTCCCACACCCCATCCCCAAGACTGCAAGCAATCTGAGATAGGTTATACACGTGCAATCATGTTCAACATATTTCACATTGGTCATGTTCTGAAAGAAGAATCAGAAGGAAAGGGAAAAATGATGGAAAAACAAAACCAAAAAAAAGTGAGAATAGTGTTCTTTGATCTGCATTCCGACTCCTTAGTTCTTTCTCCGGATGTGGATAGCGTTTTCTTTCATGAGTCTTTGTATCAAAGTTTATCACTGCACAATGTCACTGTGGATAATGTTCTCCTAATTCTGGTCACTTCATTCAGCATCTGTGAATGTAAGTCCACGTTTTTCTGAAATCTGCCCGCTCATCATTTCTTATTGAGCAATGGTATTTTATTACATTCACATACCCCAACTTGTTCCCCAATCGATGGGCATGCCCTGAATTTCCAATTCTTGGCCACCCCAAAAAGAGCTGCTATGAATATTTTTGTACGTGTGGGTCTTTTCCCTTTTTTATGATCTCCTTGGGATACAGACCTACTAGTGGTATTGCCAGGTCAAAGGGTATGCACAGTTGTTGTTGTTTTTTCCCTATTAATTTTTCATGGATTTATTGGATCTGGCAGATAAAGGACAACACACTGAAAAGAAGTAGAAGAATACATTTTGACTTCATCTCTCTTTTTTTAGTGTTCTTTCTTTCTTCCTCCCCACCTATTTAATAGTATCTTATTTTTCCAATTACATGTAAGGAAAGTTTTCAATACTCACTTTGATAAGATTTTGAGCTCCAATTTTTTTCTCCCTCCCTCCTGCCCATTCCCCCTCCCCAAGACGCATGCAATCTGATATAGGTTACACATGTACAATCATATTAAACATTTAATTTGAAGTTCACTCAAACCCCCAGGTCTTTTTCATATAACTGATTGTCTAGTCACACCTCCCTACCCTACAATCAAGCAGTCGATTATTTCCCCCATTGAACAAAAATGTATTCCACCTTAATGTATGCTGGATATGTCAAGCCAATGAATCATCTCCACAGGATGCAAAGACACTGGCAAAGGACAGTGTGACCAGTGTCCAGCATTATAAAATAAGGCAAAACAAACTGTAAAAAGGCAGGGTTCAGACTCATTTGGGAGACAGGAGCATGTCACAATGCCTGCACATTCATTAGAAAATGAATCTTCTGATATACACCAACATAAACAGAAATGCCTTCACAGGCATATCCTTTATCATTTGTATATTTACACATAGGTGGCTCTACTTAGAGTCCGGAAAAATTCAGTTAGAATCCTGCCTCAGAGTCTTATTAGCTATATGGACCTGGGCAAGTCAGTAAAGAATAGAACAAGATGTAGCCTCTGTCTACCACAGTTTTCCCATCTGTAAAATGGGGGTGATATTAATAGCACCCATCTCCTAGAGTTCTTGTGAAAATAAAGTGAGATAATATACGTAAAGTGTTTTGGAAACCTTAAAATACCATGTAAATGTC